TACACCAAATGAGCTCACCTTTATCACGGTAAAAACAACATTTAGTATTAATATCATAACATATTAGATCCTTGATTTGTCTGAATTGACATTTAAGTCATATTTTTTATAAACAACCCAAAAGAAACTATAAAAAATGTTTGTTCAGTGTTTTTACTTATTCATTTTTTTATATTCTATGAAAATGCTTTAAAAATTACCAAAATTATTATAGAATGATTGCTTATTTAATTTTTAAGCAGTTTATAACTCCTGATTCTGAATTTTTAAATATCGCAATATATATCGCAGGGGAAAAAAATATCGCAATGTCAATTTTTTCCAATATCGTGCAGCCCTAACTCGAACTCCCATCATATTTAAAAACTCCAATTTTCTGTCAACTTTTCTCCAAAACAAATCCTCACCCATTTAAACGCACACTGCGGTGACGATGTGTGTCAACTAACTGATATCTGACTGAATGTCATGACAACAGCAGCACGCAGCCTTTGGTTTAATTTTCGACCGAAAATTGACTACAATTTACGAAACATGCTAACGTTTTATTGTTAATAAATAGTGCACCAACATTCTAGGGATAAAAAATTTAACAGGAGGATCTCTGGAGAGCAAAAGCAGGAAAGGAAGCACAAATTGTGATTCCACATCATCTCACTGAGCAAGAGCAGACAACTCGCACTTAAGCAGCAAATATTTAAGGGCACGTAAGAAAATTTCTGCATGATTAGATTTAGCATGAGCGCAAAGAGATTTGCACGCTCATATTAGATGAATCCGCGCTCGACTTTATAATTAAAATAACGCCATAGACAAGCTACGAGTGTCCAGCAGGTGGCGCTGCAAACTAAGCTAGAGCAACACAGTTCGTCCAGAAAAATTAAACATATTTAAATAGTAGCAAATGCAGGTTGAAGGAAATAGTGCAGTAAAAGTACAGATACGACACTAAATATGTATTCAAAAGTACATTTTAACACTTTGCAAAGTTCAATTCAAAAGATAAACAACTCTTTTTTATTTTTAAAAAAAAAGATTTGGCAGCCCTTTTTTACAAATTTTTATTTTTTAATTTTATAATTACTTTTCCTTTAATCTTTTTTTATTTATTTTTAATTAATTTATTTTTTTATCGTTCTTTAGGCAGTGTATTTAGGGTTTGTTAAAGTGAGTTTTATATGTATAAAAAATTCTAATTTTCTGTATAAATAATGTAATTTGTTCTTGGCATAAAAAAAAGAAAAAAAAAAAAGATAACTCAATTACTGTAATTTGAGTATCTGTAACATTTTATTTTACACCACTGCTGCTCTTAAAAGGTATCCTATGAAGAAAATCTGGGTATATTTAGGCATAGCCTAATAATACAAGATCAGTATATGGAAATACACATACCGTGAGGCTCAGATACCACCGTTGTTCTCATGTAAATCCCACAAGTGTAAAACCTCGGGTGACAACGAGTCAATCAGAACACAAAGCAAACTCTGATGAAGCTCACAGGCCATGCGCTCTGTATTTGCATGTACGACTACTTTAGGTCGTTCATCCGGACCTTAGGTCATCAAGAGAACTCGGACTCATATGCAGCTCTGAGATCATCGATATGCACACCTCAGGCTGTGTTTGATAAGAAACAATGTTTTCTAGCGAGACAACATCGGCAGTTTCCTTCCCTTAGTTATTTTAAAGCTTATATTTAAGTACGTAGGACTTTTTATTTTGAAAACGCAACCACAAATTGTTTACTATGCATTACAGGGCAACAACAGCACGAGACATTTCAAACTCAACTCAGGACGAAATATGCAGGATTTACAGATTATCCATTTAGTCAGCTCCACTCTGAAGAGACATAAGGTATGTTTAATTGTATGTTTTATTAATTTATTGTGAAAATTGAAGCGTATGTTTCGACGAACACATGTAGGGTCGTGTCGGATCCCTCAGCTCAACTGTCATCTGTTCATGCAGATAAGTCCTGGCTGTGTTTTCTTTGACATTATATTTCTTTATCAACTTCTTTTGTCAAGTTTAATTACAATTAAGTCTTTATTCACATCTCGTGAGCAACATAGGTTAACTTTGGGTTTACATTAACTCAGCTACACTAAGCAGGGAAAGGGAGAACTGCGCGTCAGAGCAAAAGCTCATTAATATTCACAACACAATCCATATATGGTCAATTATGGACCTAATTCTTTGGTAATTTATGGAGTCTTAAATAAGCATTTCTGGAGAGGTTTTTAACTTACCAAAGCCATAAACCTACTATAAAGTTATCAGAGAACAATTTTGGCCTGTTTCCACTGAGTGGTACAGTATGGTACGGGTCACCTTTATCAGGCTTTCGTTACCCCAGTGCCAAAAAGGGTAGGGCGGGGTGTAAGATAGAAAGTTTCAGTCAATGTCATTCTCACTTGAGGAAATGTACATGTCATCTCTGTTAGAGAGTAATTCCGTCATTCCCGAGTTCATAATAGTCCAAAAGCTGATTATAATAATTAAACATGGCAGTTTGTTTTTTCTGGCTTCTCCTTTGTTTTTTTTGTGCATCAGTCTCACGTTTGTCCATTTCTGAAAGGATCAGATGTCAAAAGCACTTATTATCATCAGCTCAAGAAGTACGTTAATCCAAATATAGACTTGTGGCAAGCAATCGCGAGAAAGCGAATGTCCACTCGTGTTTTGTAAACAACTATTGTGCACAGGGTTCATTCTGCTCTTCTTCTTGGCTTTGCGTTTGTTCATCAAGACAACAGCAAGGTTTGTTTAAGCTCAGGTCGACCATGGCTGATTATTATTTGTATATAATATTACAGTGTAATGTCTAAGCTCATTATTTTAAAACAGCGCTTCCTTTGTTTTCGTTCTCCTGCTTATGTATGCGCTGGTGACGTTTCTCTGTAAACCAATAGCGTTCAGTTGTCTAGCTCCGCCTTTTGGTACCCTTTTGTCATGCTAGATATCCTTTGGTCAGGGTACCCATAAAGTGGTATGGTACAGCTCGCTTTTTGGTACCTTTTGACAATGGAAACGGCCGAAAAAGCGCACCGAACCATACTGTATCATACTACTCAGTGGAAACGGGCCATTAATCCAATTAAGCCAATGCACCATATGGCACCTTTAAGTTTAGCCAAACTATGATGACTTCTGCTTCTGAGAAACACTAAATTGTGAAAAAGGCATATTTCTACAAGTCCCTACGTTTTAGGATACTCACCCCTGTTGTCCAGAGTGGCACGTCCCTGATCCCTGAGGTATGTCGTCTGTTTGAATCTTGTTCCACATTGATCACATGATAATAGCTTCTCTCCGGCGTGAGTCCTTGTGTGAAACTGAAGGTAGTACATGGATAAAAAATGATTTGCCACAATGCATGCAAGTGTAAGCCTTCTTTCCAGAGTGAGTTGTCATGTGTTTTTTAGGACACTGTCCTTGGGTGTAACTCTTTCCTCACTGTTGGCAGACATATAATGTCTCTCCGGTGTGAATTCTGATATGGATTTTAATGGGGTTGTTTCGCACTGAAACTCTTTCCACACTTTGGACATGTGCAAGGCTAAATTATCATTGATTATTTTCTTTAGAGCTGTAATGCACTCTAGAATCTGACAGATTGATTAGCTGTAGGCTCATCTAAAGTGTTGTCATACAGTGTTATGCCATTTACTAACACAGACCATATTTGAAGGGTTTGGAATTCAAGGTTTTTCCTCCTGCAGAGTGTTTTTAAAGTCTAAACACTTTATTGATATAATGTACAACCAAGCACATGTGGTCAGAACACAAACGAGTCTCAGGTAATGAAGTATTAAGCATTTCTTCCATAGGAAAGCCCGTCTAAGCAAAATGCTAGCAGCCGTCTGTTGCTTCTCTTTGGTATCCTCCGGTTGGTGCCATGACGCGCGAACAAAATGGCTACGGTTGGCTACGCCTACTGGTAGCTTCTTTTGGGTTCTTCAGAAAAATATGGATAACATCACGGATACTACATCCATATATTTTACAGTCTATGGTTTTACACAGCAGATGCGACCCAGTACTGGGAAACACCCATACACACTCATTCACACACATACGCTAAGGCCAAATTAGTTTATCCAATTCACCTATAGCACATGTGTTTGAACTGTGGGGGAAACTGGAGTACCAAAAGGAAACCCACTCGATCAAAGGAAGAACATGCAAACTCCACACAGAAATGCCAACAGGACAGCCAGGACTCTGACCTTATTAATCTGGGGTCGCCACAACGGAATGAACCGCCAACCTATTCAGCATATGTTCTCCACAGCAGATGCCCTTCCAGCCGCAACTTATCACTGGGAAACCTCCTTATACACTCATTCACACACACACTCGTACACTACGGTCAATTTTTTAGCATTCCCAATTCACCTGTACCACATGTCTTTGGACTTGTGGGGAAAACCGGAGCACCCGGAAGAAACCCATGCGAAAATGGGGAGAAAAGGCAGACTCCACACAGAAATGCCAACTGGCCAAGTCGAGGCTAAAACCAGCGACCTTCTAGCTGTGAGGCAAACGTGAACCAAGAAATTTTGTGCTCCTGTTGTACAGTGTCGTCTATGTGATGGAGCTCGACGTGAAAAAAATATACAAGGTAGAGTTTCTGGTGTGGTGCCGTAAGGCGTAGCAGGCGTGGAATTGGTTGTCGTGAACTATGCCACATTACGCAAGAAGAAGCAATTGAATCTTGGGTCACGACACCCATTTGTCGTTTACAAATCCCCACGACACCCTTAGTCAGGGGTCACCCATCTCATTCCTGGAGGTCCGGTGCCTTGCAGGGTTTAGGTCCAACTTGCCTCAACACACCTGCTTGGGTGTTTCAAGTATACCTAGTAAGACCTTGATTAGCTTGTTTAGGTGTGTTTGATTAGGTTAGATTAGACCTCCAGGAACAAGATTTGTGATCCCTGCCCTACGTCAAGGAAGTCGTGGTGAAATCGTGAGAAATTTGTGTGATCTGATCAGGGTTTTACATGATTTTATTGCACACCTTCAAGCAAATCAGAATCAAGAATTTTAACAGACCATGGAATTAAGTATGTATACCTAGTAAAATCATTACAAGAAAGGTAGCTGTCGCTAGAATGGTTTTACTCAATTGATTATTTATAGAAGTACTTCAGCAAAGATTTTGGACCCTCAGCCTTGTTCTCCAGAGTGGAGCCTCATGTGAGATTTGAAGCTGGTCTTATGATTGAAACTCTTTCCACAATGATGACAATTAATACCTTTAGAGTGGATCAATTCGTGCCTATTAAGAGAGTCTTTACGCACGAAACTCTTTCCACACTGACCACAAGTATACGGCTTCTCTCCAGTGTGATTGCTCATGTGACACTTAAGGTTGAACTCTCTCGAGAAACTCTTTCCACACTGATCACACGCAAACGGCTTCTCTCCGGTGTGAGTCCTCATGTGGCCAACAAGAGAGTTTTTACATCTAAAGGATTTGCCGCAGTGTGTGCAGACGAAAGGCTTCTCTCCACTGTGAGTCCTCACGTGGAAGTAAAGGTTGCTTCTATGAGCAAAAGTCTTTTCGCAGTGAGGGCAAGCGAAAGGCTTCTCTCCGGTGTGAATCCTCATGTGGTTCTGAAGACGCTCCTTTTGGGTAAAACCATTTCCACACTGAGAGCAGGTGAATGGCTTCTCTCTGGAGTGAACCTTTAGGTGTTTTTCAAGGGACGGTCTTTGACGGAAACTCTTCTCACACTGAGTGCAGGCATAAGGTCTCTCTCCGGAGTGAATTGTAAAGTGGCTTTGAAGTGCTTGTAGTTGATTGAATCTCTTCCCACACTGATTGCAGGGAAATGGCTTCTCTCCGCTGTGAATCCTCATGTGGAGTTTAAGGTGCTGTTTTTGACGGAAACCCTTTGCACACTGAGGACACGAGTAAGGTCTCTCACTGGTGTGAACTCTCATGTGGACGTCGATTTTTGACTTTTGAGTGAAACTCTTGCCACACTGATCACATGTGAAAAGCTTGTCTCCGGTGTGAATTCTCATATGGACTTTAAGGTTGTGTCTTTGGGAAAAACACTTTCCGCAAACGCAGCAGGTAAAATTGTTTTTCTGAACTCTTTTATGCGGTAAACTCTTCTTTGGCGTTGATTTTTCATCAGTCGTTAAATCTTGGTGTCTCTCACACTGACTCTCTTCCATTTCATTAAGATCTTGAAACTCTTCTTTGAGCACCATCAGCTCTAACGAGAAAAAAAATAGTATGTTAAATATTGTTCACAAAGTAGGTTATTATTATCATGCGTGTATATAAGTTCACAATTCTTGTCAACCTCCCCTTGTCCTCCTATTTGCTCAATCTGTCTCGCCAGAAGCGCTCATAGGGGGATTTGAACTATCAGCTGAAGTTGAACCCTCAAGCCTCCCTCGAGGACAGCAAGTTTGTTTACCATCGTCTATCAAGACTGAATAAGCTGGTAAACTCAAGAACCCCGATTTAAAAGGTACAAAGTAACGTGGAATATGATTAAAAGAAATTGACAATCAAAACCAACAACTGCATGTGTAACGGAGGCCAGCTAGTGAGTGCTGTGCAGGTAAACCTCACTCATCTGACCTCTAAAGGTGCTCTAGCGACAGACGCCAGAGGCCATGGTCTTTAGCCTCCTTGGTAGAGCAACCGACTCCCATGCGGAAGGTCGCCGGTCCGATGCCAGCTCGGATCAGGTTGGGTGGCGTAGGACCGGCAGGGTTACATTGGTGCCGTGACCCGGATGGGAGTGAGGTTTAGGGGGGTAAGTGTAACGGAGGCCAGCTAGTGAGTGCTGTGCAGGTAAACCTCACTCCTCTGACCTCTAAAGGTGTTCTAGCGACAGACGCTAGAGGCTATGGTCTTTAGCCTCCTTGGTAGAGCAACCGACTCCCATGCAGAAGGTCGATGGTTCAATGCCAGCTCTGATCAGGTTGGGTGGCGTAGGACCGGCAGGGTTACACATGCAAGGTCTTACAGGTACAAAGAGGCGTTAGATATAATCTTAAAATGTTTTAACATTTTAAACTCATTGCTTTTTTAGGACACACAAAGGCTGATAGTTACCAAAACCCCTTGACACAGGATAGCTGGCTTGTTAAAGATCAATTCTCAAACATGTTTCATTCATGGCTTAAAGTCACCATGAAACAGAAGATTGTTCTTTTTTTTCCATATCACGACTTAATTTAACTTAACATCTGATTTATATGGACCTACAATAAAAAAAGGGCTTTGGGAACTGATTGGATAGTTGGTAGATGGGTAATTCTAACAAAATTAAATTGAATGAATAGACAAGAGCAAAGCCCTAAAGACATTCCATGTGGCCAGAAGTGAAGTCATTTGGAGGGTGGGAGAAGGTTACAATATTTGATAGAAGATTATTATTATTATTATTATTATGAAAATGATGAAGTGCACAGATACATTGTTTGTAACAAACACTACTATATACATATAAGTATTTGAAGACATTTCGATTGCATTGCGACTTTAAATCTACGTTACATACAACTCAAAGATGTATATTTTTTTCAGCTTCCTACTTGGAGGTAATGTCTAGAACAACATTTCCCAACCTTACTCCTGGAGGCACACCAGCACTACACATTTTCTATATAATGGAAAGGTTTCGAGGCGAGGTTTCGAGGTGATGACATTCGAACAAAGTTTGAGTCTACCAGGCCAAATCTCTGAGACATTAACCTACTGCGTTCATGCATTTCTGATTATAAGGACTGTGACTTTGTCTCTATGAAGTTCAGGGCAATACTGCTAGGCTGATAGGATTAGCAGCATCTATTTATTTGAATACTGTTATGTTTAAGGGATCAGCACAGGGCGAGTCCATTGTCAGGCTAATTCCTGTACGTCATTGCTTCGTCTCCAGCTCTTTGCATCACAACCCCCTAAAACGTTTATACAATTTAGTCCAACACTGCACTAAGTATCCTCGACAGAGGTATTTAAGTTATAGACATCTTTAGGATTTTGCTCAGGCTACTCTTAATGCTGTGTTCACACCAAACGCGGCAAGCACGGATAAGTCGTGCTATTCGCGTGTAAATATACACGTGAACATTTTGAGTTCACTCGCTTCATTTGCGCGTCAAACTCAATGAACAATAGAAGTGGATTCAGGTCATGGGCATGGCTTCTGTCTGGGCTTCGTTGCTAAATGGTTGGTAAACATAGATTTTGTAGAGAGGAAAACTGTGTTTATGTGCTTTATGAAGACAGCATTGATTCATTTGGAGCCATGTCGGAGTACACTAGACCCTTTCAGAGGTGCACCCAGCTCTGAGAGTTCATAAACTCCTTCAGAAATTTAACCTGGATGATGGAAGCTTTCAGCAGTGCTTTCGACTGAGCCAAGCCCAGTTTGATGAACTGTTGTCTGGTGTCGGCAAGAGGATATCCCCCTGGGACACTAGCAACAGGCACTACATCATAAGAATGCCCCTACAAGAGGATGCTCCTGATTGGTTAAGGTGGCGCAAATGTCCACTGAAGTTCAAATTTTCAAACTTAAACGATGCACGTGTTAAGCGGGTCATTTGTGTAAAATGCTCAACTCGCGCCTATTCATTCGTGCTGTCTCATTCGTGCGAATCGCACTGCAGGATGTCTATTTGCGTTTTTGCATTGACTTAACAAGTTAGTCACTCGCGCTTGATGCTTCTCCTGTGTCTGGTGTGAACGCAGCATAAGACTTCTCCATGACTGTAGCAATGGCGAGTTGCCAATAAAGAATCCTGCTTAAAGAAACGAGAGTCTCCATGTCTTTACTTTTGAGTCCACAAAACTACTTAAACATGAGAGCATTCTCATCAAAACATTAGAAGAAACCTGAAATTAATGGGTATAAATAAGGGAGACATCCAGTAACAGGGTTAAAGAACACTTGTCCAGAACATTGGTTCTCAATTCCAGTCCTCTGGACCCCCCACCTTGCCTCACCTTGTCTCTTTTGTTTGACACACAAAGGTACAGTTCATGTATCTCTCTGTTATGGCCCGTTTCCACTGAATGGTACGGTGTGGTTCGGTATTATGACCTTTTCCACTGTCAAAAAGTACCAAAACGTGAAACGTATACTAGCACTTTTTGGGTACCCTTTGTAAAGGGTACCTAGCACAACAAAAGGGTACCAAAAGGCGGAGCTGGACGCACAGCTGAACACTATTGATTTACAGAAAAACGTCACTAGCGCACAGCCGAGACATTACACCGTAATAATATATGCATATAAACAAGCCATGGTCGGTACTTTTACTCCACTACTTTCCTTTAATCTGCAGTCACTACTTTATTTTTGTCTTTTCTATTGGGATTGGAAAAATCAGTCATGTGATTCCCGTCCAATCAAATCGCACATAGAAGGTAAAATCGCATCATAATGGACTACCCCAAGACATAGGCACTTTATAATCGCAGCAAACTGTTTGGAAGAATTAGGTATCCAAGAAGACGTCCAAAATCTTTTACACGCATTGACCCGAAGACTGTTTAGAAGTTTAAACCTTAACCCTAATGTCAATGTCCAACCTAAAATCAACCGAATATCAACGTCTAAATGATGTTATAGCTTGACGTTCTGTGGACGTTACCACTATGATGTCTATCAGATGTTGGATTTTGACGAATAAATGTCAGTATTTGACGTCAATATGACGTTGATTTAAGATGTGGGTTCGACGTTTGATTTTGGTCACTTTCTAACACAACCTAATCTAAACTAATATTAAAATCTTATGACATCGTGTGCCTGCTGGCTAATAACTAAATGCACTACAGAATGTTACGTTTAAACAAATTACATTTAAATGCATTCGCTTTTAACAGCGTAATACTCACTACTCTTGAGTACTTTTGAAAGGTCTACTTTTTACTCATACTTTGAGAAATATTTACAACAGATACTTTTACTCGCACTACATTTTTAGGCAGGTCAAGGTACTTTAACTTAAGTATGATTTTTCAGTACTCTTTACACCACTGCGAACGACAACTAAAACCCCTTCTTTTTAGAGAGCACCTGAACCCTGATGAATAAAACCAAAACCCTTCTTTTCTCCACCACCCCCCTCCCCCTGCAGCACTAAATTCGCTGAGCACAATCAAGTTACTTTGTATAACTAGCACTTCTTGTGCAAAATTAATCAAAAAAAGATTGCGATCTCGATTCGACCCCCTAGATCAGGGGTGGCCAACCCTGTTCCCGGAGAGCCACCTTCCTGGAGATTTCAGTTGCTACCCATATCAAACACACCTGCCTGTAATTATCACGTGGTGTTCAGGTCCTAATTAATTGGTTCAGGTGTGTTTGATATGGGTAGCAACTGAAATCTGCAGGAAGGTAGCTCTGCAGGAACAGGGTTGGACACCCCTCCCCTAGACGATCTTAATCCAGCATTTCTACGATTCTGCCAATATTTTCAAGTTCAGGAGAGAAGCAAAGGCAGCTGCATGAATCTTTTTATTGTTTCACATACATTGCTTAGCGACATGACACCTCCAAATGGTGTTGAAAGAGTTATTTAATGTTTTTGTAAGGTATATTTCACCTAAAAATGTCATCTTTGTCTTCATTTAATGCTGTATTCGCAACCGGGAAATCACACATGACGTGAGCTGCTGACCGTGAGCTGTTATCACAGAGAGGGCAGGCGCGCGTCTACTTTAGTGAACAGAGCCTGCATAGGCTGTGAGTAGGGTTGTAACGGTATGAATTTTTCACGGTATGATAATCGTCTAAAACAATACCACGGTTTGACGGTTTCACGGTATACGGTATGTTACAAATGTTACAAAATAATAGAACAGTGAAGCAAATTTGACTTTTTCCAAATAATATATTTTTAGTTACTATAAACAACACAACTTACAATGAACAAATAAAAATAAGAAAATAATAAATAATGTGTCAAAGTCCAAATAAAGTCCAAATAAACATGGTGCAAATCCTCAGTTAAAAATTGATATAAATATTTACTATACTATAAATAGTTACATAACGAAACTAGATTCAATATGGAACATCCTTAGGTTTTATGTGCCAGCATGGATATGGTTGTCTGTGGATATGGATTTGGATGTGGTTGTCTGCAATGCAGACAAACAGCTGCATCTTCATTTGCGTCTTTTGAAAACAGCAAGAGCAGCAGTTCGTCTTTGCTGTGTCACTGTTTTGTCATGTTTCTGTGCTGCTGTGCATGCAAAAGTACTTAGTATGAGAATTATTTCATGCAAAACTTTTTTTTTTTTGCGTTTTATTTAGCCGCGCATAAATGTATGCCTTTCTCTCATTCCGTGTTGTTCAAAAAGCTTGGTCCACAAACAAAAGTGAAACCTATGCTTATTGGTTGTGATATAGCGAGTTTGAACCAATCTGGGCATGGAGGAGGGACAATGCATCAATGTATCGTGTCTGATTTGTCCGGAGACACAGTGACGAGCGTTTCTTTGTCAAATCAGCGTTGTCAAATGTTGATGACGTAACCGCACTGATTCCGGAGCCTCTGAAAGTCGATGTTTTGTGATACAGCACTGGAAAGCTGAGATTCTCTTCTTTATGCCAATCTTTGAATTGTATGAATCGGATCAGCGGATCAAAAGTTATTAAACATTTAAGAGCAATACTTATTTTTAGCCGCGGGCAGCTGTCTCGGTCTTTAGGGTTAAAACCGTTGATATGCAATTGTTCATGGTATGATAATCGTGCACGTTCAAATCGTGGTAAACCGTCATACCGGTATATTGTTACAACCCTAGCTGTGAGTAACAGGTAATACAGTTGTAAATAATATTCAGTTTGTGGCACAGAGAGATCGTTTGAGAGCTGCGCGCGAAGTATGAACAGCACACGGCAGTGAAAATGAAACCGAAATCGTGCACATCTTTTACATAATCGTATTGCATTTTAAGGCTGATTTATAGTTGCATAGTATAGCCCTTCGCTGTGGCCGACTGACGTGCACCTCTCAAAAAAATGTAACTACACGTTGCAACGATGCATAGCGCAAGCTCTGTGATTGGTCGGCTTGGTAGCGCTGATGAGTCTGGGCGGGACCGAGAGCCGTGCGAATGGCGCGAGCCCAATGGAGCGATTGTTTACAAGTGTGGAGTCCCGTGAAGGAGCTCCGGATGGAAAGTTTTGTTTTGTGTTTACCTCATAGTTAAAGTTGTTGCACATCCGCCGGTTCCTGCCTCGAAATGAGCGAGTTTGAGCCACTTGTACATCCCGGAAGTGTTCAGGAAAAGCAAAACAGCAGCGAAGAAACTCGACACAGAGGAACATTTACACCTCACTGCCCACTAGTGTTTCGGAAGTGTTAATGCAGACCGACAGAGACAGCGCGCAGAAGTATAAATGCACAGCTACGGGCGTTGCATGCGCCGTGGGTTACGCCGGTCACTTGACGCAGAAGTATAAACCAGGCTTTAGAGTTATGATTGCGACAAGCATTTGATGTTTTTTCTTTCATTGCGAACACACAGCTGTGCATGAAAATAAATGTTTACAGTGTCCGTATAACTACTCTAGCCTATAAAATGTTGATTTTACCAGTGAATTAAATGGTCTTATAATGTTGTCAATGACAGATTGCAAGCATAGGCCTATATCTCAAACATAATTCAACATCAGAATTATTATAAATAGAATAGAATTATTTATAGAAACCAGTAGACCTACACATATTATTATTGTTGTTTTACCATATGTTTGAGAAAAAACATTAATTAATTGCCGACTAATGTTAAGATTTATTTTACATCTACAGAATCGTGAGAAAATCGTGTTCTTTATTTATAATCGCGATTCTCATTTCAGCCAGAATCATGCAGCTCTAACTTCTTGTGTGCATTGCCTCTTCGTTGAATCGCTAAATGGACAAAAGCATCTGCTGTATGACTAAATGTAAACGTATGACTGATGGCACACTAGGATCATCCACTGTGAAAATCATGTAACTGACCCTTCGCTTAGTCACACCCGTAAATCGCCACCCACCAATCGTGGCTTAGCAAGCGTAGCTGCACGCAGGAGCTCTGTCAAGCTTTCGAGCGAGGGAAACAAGCCAAAGTGTTGTGCATATGAATTGTGCAAATTTGATACCCGGTATCTTAAAAGTTTGGACGGGGTGGTGGAATTTTTTCCCTTTTCTAAACCAAAAACCCAAGAGGAGAAATGCCAGAGTGGATCAAGCTCTGTGAGGTGCGCTAAAGGAGCTGAGACAAGCTGGTTTTGTTTTCGATATTCCTGACACAGTCATAAACTGCAATAACTCACACACCTCTTACCTTAAACAGATCTAAACTGTGTTTCCTACAAAAATACAAAGCAGGTTCTGTTTCCCAGCTGTCTTTTTCTTTTTTTCCGCTCGATATTATGAGCCCTGCTCCGTTTAAGCCCTCGCTATAGTAGTCATGCTAATAGCGATCATATGTCCATCTGTTTTAAGCTACGAATATTTGAAAATACATATCAACAGAACAAAACCAAGATCACAATCGGAGCACTTGCGATCAATACACTTCACCCGCAGCTGTTTTTCAGTCATTTATAACCCTCATGTCCATGTCAGAGCTACAACTCACCAATGTTTTCATCTGTCTTTTGGAGATTTAGTCATTAGTGATGACGTTTTTGCAGGTTAGTGTCTGCTCTTATATTTGGTGTCTGATTAATATTTGCTGGTAGGGAAAATCTATTTGTTCACTTCTGCTATTTGTACTTTGATTTGCATTTTAATGTATTTATTTCTTCCACTGAACTGCAAATTAAAATAAAAACAGGATGAAGAGCACACAAACATACTGACAGATATAGGTGCTGTACATTGTTATAGTCAATGATGCTAATATTCAGCACAAATCCATCAGTTTCCTCTTTCTGGCTGCTCTTTCTATGATTGAATTATGTAGAAGAACTGTCCATGCGTAGTTCCTCGTCGGTTAGTAACGCTATATTTCATTGCAAAACAATAGTCTTTCAGGCTTTTTGGTTAAAAATAGAGAAATCACGGTTTAATTTGGTATTATTAGATTATTTTTAAATGTCACCTCTTTTGCTGTGCATGAACTAAGCTGGTGAATGTTCAGCATGAGGCGGCTAGGCTAACCAAGCTTCAATTTTGATTTTTATTCTCTAATCGGTTGCCTATTATGTCCTGAATATACCCCTGTAACGCATACTGCAGTCCTTTTTTGGCTGGCTTTCTCGGATATCTCACCTGTTTGCCAAAAATTATATCCTTGGCAACGTCTGACACTGGGGCTTACACATTGTAATAGACGAGCCAGGCACGAAAGCTTGACAGGCGTAGCAACAGTAACTAAGGAGGGCGGGGCTGAGCGAAGGGTCAATTGCCTGAATATGGCCATAATGGCACTTTCTGCAAGGAGTTTTTATTAAAATATTCAGGAAATTAGAAATGTAATTTTCCCACATCCTGATATAAAACATCCTGCAAGTTTCAGGACTCGAAACGCTTCTGAGTTTGTGCAAACAGTTTTTTGTTTCTTCTTTGTGATCGTAACATTGTATTTACAGTGAACTCCACCGTTGTTATACTGCTTTTAAATCTATTTCTCTTTGACAGAAGTTGCGCAAGCAAGAAATGTAAAAAAAAAAAATAGATTTAAGAAAGAAACCCAACCTGTTTGCTCCTCTGGATCCTCATGTTTCACTGAGAATGTGTCTTCAATCTTCAGGTCTTCACTCTCCTCTTTAATAAACGCCATCTTTATAACAGTGTGGAGATCAGTCACTTCAGCAGGAGTTTTTCCTCTGTGTTTGGACACAGTTAAAAATGAGAACAACAAACAGAAATAAAAGAAATACACACTCAATCTGCGTCTCAATCATCTCTCTAGTTCACTAATAAGTGCACTGCTGAGGGACTCAGACTGAGAGACGATAGTTAAATCACCTGAGTAGATAAAAAACAAACAAAACCAGCTCTAGAAATTTATAAGAGAATACAAACTATGCATACACACTATTTTGTGTTCAATATTACTCTTTCACGATGCAGTTGGTTTATAAAAACACCTCAGGTGTTTGTTGTTTCGTTTCATTTCCACTGTTTAGACCAGCGGATGACGTCAGCGCGCAGTGATTCGCGCGCTTCAAAAAACTGAATCAGTTCAAGAAACATTTGATTCAAATGACTCGGAGTTTGTAAAGCTCCGTTTTTTCATCTCTACAAACAGATTCACGATACAGGGAACAGTTACATTTTAAAGCGTTTAAATGAATGCTAGATAAAGCATAGTATTAATCGTGAATTAATAATATCTATCAAATCAAATGACATTGGCTGAATACTTGTGCTGATGTATTAAACTTTAAAAAATGTAAAGCAAAAAATGTAGTAATATAGCGTTACTAACCGACGAGGAAACACGCATGAACAGTGCTTCTACATATTTCATTCAACCCCTTGTTGAACCTTAGCTACCGGAGCTCGGCGCCGCTTTATGACGTCACACACCAACGCCAAAATAAAAGTCAGAGGATATACAAACAGGAAATTATAGGGACACCTGATGGTCAAAACTGTAAATGCAACAAAAAAGCATGGAAGACATTATAACTGAGTTTTCCAGCATAGAGTTAAGCATTTTCTATTTATTTATATGGGATAATAGCTCACACAGTGCTTTATGCCCAACTCCCATGTGAAAAACCTGAAAATCCCCTCTTACTCTTCTTTCAGTTCTGGTAAACCTGATGATTTCAAACAATTGACCAAAAGTTACATCCTTTAACTTTAGATCACCTTCAAAAATTATTTACTCATTCATTCATTCATTTTCGGCTTAGTCCCTTTATTAATCCGGGGTCGCCACAGTGGAATGAACCGCCAACTTATCCAGCACATGTTTTACATCCAGCCTTCCAGCCGCGACCCATCTTGGAAACATCCATACACACTCATTCACACACATACATAGACAATATAGCTTACCCAATTCACCTATAGCGCATGTGTTTGGACTGTAGGGGAAACCGGAGCAGAGAAATAACCCATGCCAACTCGGGGGACTCCACACTGACCCAGCCGAGTCTTGAACCAGCGACCGTGCTGTGAGGCGATTATGCTACCCACTGTGCGACTGCGTCACCAAAATTATTTACTGTAAATTTGGAGATTTAACTTGTGTGTTTGTGTGAGTACAATCTTTGAATTTGAAGTTTATTGTCAGTTTTATTAGCGAGGATCTACATGTAGTGTTAAACTATTTAGTTAAATCCTGGTTTTGTATTTTAAAAAGTGTGATTTCTAGGCACCCTACTCCGCAGTTTATGTTCCAATAACTTTTAATAAGTTAAATGGTTAATGAAGTTGTTCTCTGCAATAGCAAAATTTAGTACTGGTTTCTTTATAGCACCGGACTTTTAATTTGGTATTGGTGTGTGATGTCATAACGCCGCGCCGCGCTCCTGAATGTGCAGCTCAACAAAAGGTTTGTGCTATTATGTTCTTAGGTTTAAACACCAAACATTCAGAGTTATTAGTTTAAGAACTTTAAGATTAAACTAACTATATCAGCGACTATAAAACACACGTGTGTAACAGAAAAGGCGCGTCCCGTTTCTCCCGGTGTGTCGTTAATCTGACAGTAAACATGAACATGAATTCAGTCACTGGCGAGTGGAGATGAGGAAAAACGGAGCTGAGTCAATTGAGTCAAATGTTTACTAAATGATTCACTATTTCGAATCACTCGAACTCAAAACCATATTTGAGAAAACAAGAAACATACTGTCTCAAATTTTCTCCTCACACCTCCTTTATTTGGTATAATGGTAATATAGCCTGAAAACTAAAGATTTAATTTAAGTAAATTGGTTTAATAGAGACGTTAATCATCTTTTAAACTTTTTGACAATTGAATTTCGCAATACTGTTTAACGTTAAATAATTTAATTGAGTTATTAATTCTATCCCTGTAAAAATTATGAAAAGGGGTGGTTCTCTTTTCTCAAAATATGGACTTTTTTGCAGTTATTTACCTCATTTTCGGTTTAATTATGATGTTTAAATACTCTAACAAGTGGCATTTTAAGCACTATTTTTAGTTGGATTAGCTTTTTGCGTCCTCCATTTTCGATGTACCTACAAATGTAAATATTTCCTAAAGATTCATAATTAACAAATCTAAATATAGAGCTTCACGATTGTCTTCTAGCCTCTCTTGAAAATTCATCTAACAACAACCAGTAAATTAGTATAAACAGCAAAAGGCAGTCTTAAGGCACTCGAAAAAATGTGGAAAAAATATTATCAAGTCTTTCTTGAGGTTCTTAAAACTGCGCCTACACGTTTTGATAACACTTGACTTCATCAGGGTAACCTGATGTAGCCGCAGTTTTAAGAAACAGCCATGTCAATAAAGGCCTTTTATTTTTTTTTCCACATTTTTTGACTGTTTTTGATGTTTATTCTGATGAATCCCTTACATAAAGAGCACCGACACATTATTTAAGCAACTCCTGAGAACTTTCAGTTTGATTTTGGATTTGCACAGCCTAATTAGTATTAAAATTGACTTTAATAGGCTGCTTTTGGTGCTTGGGATCTTTTTATTGGTCAGTTTTTCTCTCTCAAGAACAAGGTTCGTAATTTAAATGAAAAGTTAGGCTACTTGTACAATGTCTTTTTTAACAAGTCGGTCAATAGTGAAAGTTGACTTCACTTATGTCATATTGTGCGTTTTCTTAAAACCTTTGATGGGTTATTTCCACAATTTATAATAATTATGATAATTCTTTCGAACCACCCAAAACCCCTCTGGCTATGGGCCAGCTCTATCTGTTCTAAACCCAAAATTTCATTTAGAAGGTGTTGAGTTGACTGATTGAAAATGTACTAACAAACATATTCGTAATATTTTTCCGGAGCAGAATAAAATTACTCCTAGAGGCAAATTTTGCTGGAACTAGGGATCCAACGATTATAGATTTTGGTTGTGCGATTATAGTCTGAGGAATTATCACGGTTGTCACGATTATTATGCATTCATTAATTTCAAAACACTGCTAGATTAGAAAAATCAAATGAATCCTTATATTTTAGAGTGTTGTTTATTGCTGCTCAGTAACCAAATGATACGACACAAAATTATAATATTAAAAAAAAAAAACAATAGTTCAATTCTCTTTGGACTAAAAAATAAGTGAAAAATGTTTTGGTTTTTAAACATAATAATTATACATTGAAAATAAATAAAAACAATAAAATTATAATAAACAAATAAAATATAATAAATTACAATAAAAAATAAATAAAATGTAAATAAATAAAAATAAATTAATTAATTAAATGTAAATAAATAAAAATTAATGAAAATATATAAATAAATAAAAAATTATAAATTAATTTAAAATAAATTAATAAATAAATATTTAATTATTTTTAAATAAATAAAAAAATAATTAAATTAAATTAAAATAATAAATAAATTAATTAATTATTTGAATAAATAAAAAATGAATGAAAATATATAAATAAACAAAAATTTATTAAATGAATTTGAAATAAATGAATAAATACATTTTTAATTCTTTTTAATAAATAAAATAATAAATAAATAAATGTAAAATAATCAAAAAATAATTATTTTAAATAAATAAAATAAATTTCAATAAATAAATAAAATATAAATAAATTTTATTCAATTAAAATAAATGAATGAATGAATTAAATGTAAATAAATGAAAATATATAAATAAATTAAAATGTAATAAATAAATGTAAAATAAATAAATACATTTTTCATTATTTTTAAATAAATAAAATAATAAATAAATAAAAATAAAAATAAATAAAATTAAAAATAAATAGTATTTGTCTAATGTAAATCTAAGATACATAATAGTTAAGTATTTCCCTTTTACAGTGATGAAATATTATCAAAGGCTGCTGAACCTTTTGATCAACTATATAACAAAATTGTTCATTTTGTATTTTTCATTTGTATCTTTCCCTCAGTGTAGGGCGCTTGCGGCATTCTTTCAACTAGTAGGTGTGCCTGGAAAGCACGAGTCCGTCGCTCCATATATGCAAGCCACGCGCCTCCATTGGAGATAACGAACTTGCGTGCGTAAAAGACGCGATATGTGACTGGCCCTTAGTTAACAGCCTCAGCCATAGTTAATCCAGTGTGCATGGTGTACAAGCTCAGAACTTTAAACTAGCACTCAGTTGGCATAACTTTGTTAGGTTGCAGCAGTTTTGTTCCATGCAGAAACATGGTGTTGAGAAGCCTTCACGATTACTTAACCGTGACGAATTAAAGCGCGTCAAATTGTTGCATCCCTACATGGAACTCTATTATAGTTTATATTAATTGTAAAAAAGCCTGGTTAACTCCCTTCAAATACACCAAGGTATTGTATTAATAATACAATTAAGGAAATTCATTTTAAAATACTACATACAATTCACCCAGTGAAATCTTTATTATCAAAGTACATTGAAATGGAGGATATCTGTGGTTTCTGCAATGCAGATAAAGAGAGCCTTTGTCATTTTTTTTTTTTTTTTTTTACTCAGTTTTTATTGATTTTTTTAGGAACATAACCAGTAGGAACAAAACAAATAAAAAAAATACATATATACATAAATATACATATGCATACAAACCCATATAGGCCAATACAACACACGTACATCTACATACATACACGTATAAAAATATTAAATTAACCTCATCAAAATAAATAGATAAATAAGTAAAAAAATAAATAAATAAATAAAATAAAATAAAAAAACCCAGAACAAAAGTGGTTGTTGGAAGAGTTATAAAATCAAGTCATGATACGTTTGACATACATTATCACAGATTATTTACAATGACATATTCAGACCATTTTTTCCAGTACTTGGTATACTTTTTTAAGTCAAATCTTAGATTAAAGGTGAGTCTCTCCATACAGTGTATTTCCTTTACAATTCCTATCCATTGAGCCCTTGTCGGGGGGTCAGCATGCAACCATTTTCGAGTTATGGCTTTTCTGCTACTTACCAAAAGGATTTGAATTAGGTACTTGTCAATAGTTGGAAAAACTTCTGGTATTTTCCCAAGGTATAATGTTATAAATGAGTAGTCCAATTCTTCTCCGATTATCTTTTTTATTTCAGACGCTATTTCACTCTGTCATTTTTTTTTTTTTTTTTTTTTTGAATGCAACGTTGTAAACAATTTCTGGAAGGATCTAGCCAAATATATATATATATATATATATATATATATATATATATATATATATATATATATATATATATATATATATATATAATTATTTTTAGGGGGTTTCACCTTTATTGATAGGACAGTGGAGATTAGAGACAGGAAAGTGTTGGGAGCAGAGATAGGGGAAGGATCGGCAAAGGACCTCGGGCCGGGATTCGAACTCGGGTCTCCACGAGCACCTCGGTGCTATGTG